TATCAGTATTATCATCCTTCTCATTATCTGAGATCAAATAATCAATCAGTCCCTGTCTTATAATAACTTTGTCATGAGGTTTAGCCCAATTCAGTATAAATTTTGGAATTAAGACAGCTGATATTTGACAGTTTTCGCAAGTCATGTATCTTTGAAATCTTAAAGGTAAAACATAACATGTATGATAATTGATAGTAAAAAATAAAGTAAAAATAATTTATTTGTAAGAATAGTTTTACCTTTTAGCTAATCCTTTCTTTAAGCTGAGAACAAGAGGTTGACAAAACTTAAGATTTTTCATCTCATTATAGGAATTATTCATTGTGCTAATGGTAGGTAATAAATAACCAATGCAAATTTTTTTTCTCCTTGGAATATATCTAAAACTCGGGCAACTGGTTTCATAACCTGGGAGTATCGATTTTAATTTTAACAACTTTTTATGTTTGAACACTTAAAAATATTTAAATATAAAATTGAGTATTACATAATATGAGTATTACCTTGCAGTATTCAATTAAAAAACCAACTTCTTGAGTAAGTGAAAAAATAGGCAACTGTAGTTTGACACAAATTTCATTAAGATTATCATGATTATCAGTTATAACATTCATTGCATCGTAGAATGAGTTCCACCTAAAAACCAAAACATATTATGTATTACTCTTTACAAAACAGTAGTGTATTAGTATTACAATATTATATTAGAAACAAATTTAATAACGTATTTATAGTTTTACCTACCCATATAGCAATATAACATTTTTTGATTGTTTATATGTTAGGTATTACTTTTTTAATAATGACATTATTTAATCATTTGGATTTCATCATATTTTGATTAAATAATATGATATTAATGATTATATATTGTTGTTTGGCCACCGGTTTGAAATTAAATAAACATCAATATATTGTTATTTTGAAAATTATAATAAAACCATACAATTGTATTATTTTAAAAATATTGTTCCCCTAACATACTATTGATAATATATATCAAACCATTATCAAATATCAATTTGCCATATTTTTTATGGTTAATAATACGTTTTATATGATGTAAATATAATAAAAAACATTAAATATGTGATTATTTAATGTCAAATGGTGGGGTGGGAGAGTTACTCATTATGTATTCTATGATAATAAGACTAGGTATGGGTAACTGAAATAATAAATGACTTTAGCACCTCTAACTTTTTTTTTCATTGAAATTGCACCCCTGTACATTATTTATTTATTTAATCAATTAATTATTATATTGTATTTAAATGAATTCCAACAATTATATGTTATGATATACTTGATATAGGAAGGAAATAATGAAAACTTAAAAACGAAAAGAATATTCTAAATCCATTTTTTTCATTTCCATGTTAATAACAGTATATATTATTATTTTTAATTAATAATTGTATTAATATAACAATTTAAACAGATATAAATATTTATACTGCAGGTCTTGACCATAAAATATAGTATTTAAACAAAAATTATATTAAGATGATAGTTCATTAGAAATAGGTGGATTTTTCTTTGGTTCCCGGAATTCAGCTCCAGAAATAAATGTTCTTATGGGTGTCTCAATATCCACAGCATTGCTAAATTTGAATTTTTTCATTTGTTTTATTGCATCTGAAAATCATGAAATTTTTAAATATATTAATTAATATATATCATATAATTATATTGTTTTCTTTCATTATATATTTATTTGCTACAAAGCAAGTTGTATTTATTATATAATTAACATGTTATCACAAAGTAAAAAAATAACAAAAGTAATACACATGGCAATACTATATAATACTGATATAGAAACATTTTTTGATTATTACTCAATTATTTGGCCTGATAGTGGCACAGTGGATTTATACTGAGTAAGTCATAAGGTACCTAACATATTTTTATAGGGGGACATAAAACATTAAGTTATATTTTTAATTGTATTATACATTGACTTTTTATTGGGTTTTAAACTTTTAAACAAATTTAATAAAGTAAACTTATCCATATTACATTTTTGTTCAACCCCATCTGATTTTAAGAACCACCACTGCTATAATATATTTTGCTTTTTCTTTCACTTCAAGATTTTTTTTTATACATGTCAATAACAGTCATCCTGATAGTACCCTACAATAGTACTTTAATTATTTATTATTGCTAAAAAATGTTTAATCAGTAAATATAGCTAATAATTGTATTATTATTATTATTATTAATTTATTTCTCAAGATAAGAATACTGGGCCTCACTGAGTATTCTCGTGTGGAGGCCCAGGAGTTATTATGTGTACATGAGTTTAATTAATTTCTAGTGTATAAGTTACATGTTGTATTGTTTAAAATTATTAATTATATAATATTAAGTAAAAATATGTGTCTACTATCTTAGTGAAACATTACAAATTAAACGTAAATAAAAAAAAAATCATGATATATAAACCTGTAGTAGATTTCTTATAATTAGAGTATAAAAACAAAAAAATAGAACATAGAAAAATTGATACATAATATAAATTTAACAAATAGTTAAAAAAAGGTATGTTATTAATTATAATAATAGGTTATTGTTGAATTCATAAAGAAGCCATTTCTTAAAGTCTATCTTAAACCTAAGCAGAGTTAATGCATGGAAGTGTTTTGGTATTAAGTTTAGGATTTTTGTACCGACGAATTTATATTGTTTTCTTGTGCCCGTTTTATGAGGCCATTGCATTGTATAATTATTATTTTTAGAGAACCTGGTAACAACATTATGACTCAGGGGTAATGGGACATCATGTTTTTTTAAGAAAAGGACTGCTGAATTAAAATATATTTTTTTGATATCTAGAACATTAAAGTCTTCGTAAAGTTGTTCTGTATTGTATGTTTTGTCTTTACTTAAGGCGATCTTAATTAGTGTGTTTTGAGTAGTTTGTAATCTAGAGAGAGCGTTCTCATATGATCCTCCCCAGCCTATAATTCCATAAGATATTATTGGTTCAATCAGTGCCAAGTAAATTAATCTTAATTCTTTCTTATTTAGGATATCTCGAAATTCTCTCATTATATATATCATTTTTCTGGTTTTCTGTGTTAATGAATTTATTTGATCATGCCATTTCATATTTGAGCACATTTCTATACCCAGATATTTGAAGTTATTCACAACGTTTATTTTCTTACATTCACACTTTATATTGTTGGCATAGCATGTATCCTCGTGTAATATGAAATCTTTTTTGGTTGGTAACGTATTAGTTTTCCATGAATGTAATAAAATAACAGTTTTATCGTAGTTTAGAAATAGGTTATTCATTATAAGCCAGTGTTCTATGATTTTTAGATCTTCCGTTATAGTTTTAAACACAGCTTCCCACGTAATTTCTGAGCAAATTAAAACTGTGTCATCAGCATAGCAAACAAGGGTACTTTTTAAGGGTAGGTTTTTAATGTCATTTAGTTGTATATTGAATAATATAGGTGAAATGGTCGTTCCTTGTGGTACCCCACATATAATCGTCATTTCATCACTATGTATTTTATTAATTTTAACTAATTGTTTCCTGTCACTAAGGTAAGATTTGAATAATTCTAAAGCGGGTCCAGTTATCCCAATATTTTTCATTTTATTTAATAGAATACCGTGGTTGATAGTGTCAAAAGCTTTAGCCAGGTCAAGGTAAATTGATGCACATTTTTTTTCTTTCTCTAATGCATCGTAAATAATATTTGTTGTTTTTGCTATAGCCTGATCTGTCCCTTTTCCCGGTCTAAAACCAAATTGGTTTTCAAATAGTAAATTATTTTTTTCTAAAAATTCAACTAGTCTATTTTTAATAATTTTTTCAAACACTTTTGCTATATTTGATATAATAGAGATTGGACGATAATTGTTTAATGAAGTGTATGATCCTTTTTTATGTATAGGGGTGACTATTGAAGTTTTAAAAGCATAGGGTATACAATTTGAATTTAGACATAAATTATAAATATGTTTCAAAGGGTGACAAAGAATTTGTTTATGTTTTTTTAATAGTTCAGATGTTATGTTATCAGCTCCGGGGGCAGATCCATTTTTTAATTTAGAGATAGCTTTCAGTATTTCAAATTCATTTATATTCGTAAAATTATTGAGGTAAGGTTTTTCATGTATTATTTTATTATCAGTAGAATTAGGATTTAAATTGTCTTTGTATTTATTTGTTTCATAACTTTTTAATTTGGTGATTAGTTCGGCGGCAACATTTATGTAATATTCATTAAAGCTATTAGCTATTAATTTAGGGTGTTCGTTAACATTTATTTCTTTATCATCTTTGGTGAGTATTTTATGGATTGTTTGTTGTTTTTTATTTTTACCGATTTGGTCTCCTATCAATTTCCATTTTAATTTTGAGTTGTTGTCTGCTTTTTTCAGTTCAGTCTTATAGTAATTTTTTTTAGTATTTCTGATTAATAATGTTACCATATTTCTGTATTTTAGGTAATAATCTTTTAGTTGGTTATTATGAGGGTGTTTTCTAACTTGTGAGTGTAGATGATCTCGTTTTCTGATTGTCTTTATTAAAGTAGTGGTTGCCCATGGTTTAATTTTCTTGGTTTTAGATGAGATCTGAATTTTTTTTGAAGCGGATATTTTTATAGTATTTAATATTTCGGTAAAAATATTAGTGGCGTTATTAACTTCTTTATTTTGATAGACGGATAACCAATCTTGCGCTTTGATTAAGTGGGTAAGTTCTACTTCATTAGTTTTCATTATTGTTAACGGGTTTGGTTCATTATTGCGGTTTTTAGAGATATTTTTTATGCTAAGGATTATTGGATAGTGATCAGTTATATTTAACTGTGGTATAATTGATAATACATTTTTCATAGTCTTCGTTTTAATGAATACATGGTCGATACACGTGTTAGAACTAGGTCTAGTAACGTTATTGATGAAAGGTACAAAGCCGTATTCCATCATGAGTAATAGGTAATCGTTTTTTATTTTTGAAGGTCTAAGCAAGGTCCATTATACATTTTTATTATATATTTATAAAAGTTTAATCAAGCTTAAGGAATAATTAGAAATATTATATTTAACTAAACAAATTCTCTCCAAAAATTACTGTACATGTAGCCAAGGTATAGAATACTTTCTTTTTTTTCAAACACTTGTAGCTAAACTTTTCAAGCAATGCATCTGTAAACATTTTTCTCAATATAACACTCACAGTACTGGGCAATGTGCTACGTGAAAAACGTTTGAGCTCTGCAATCTGTACACAATTATTAATTTATATAACTATTAATATAAGCGTATAGCATATTCAGAATTTTATTTTTACCAGTTTCATTCTAAATTCTTTATTGGCTGTAAGTTTTTTTTTCAAATTCCTCCAGCTCATCTTCTGTTTCCAATGGAAGATTTGATAGTTCCATTTGGAATATATCTTCAGTATTTTTTTCTGTAGATGAATGATCAAAGCGACTTGGTTCCAATAATATAATATCATACATTTTATCAACCTTCTCATTTAATGAATTAATATCATATTTTATATTACAGATGGTTAGATTCATTTTTTGAAGAAATTCTATATAGGGATTAAAAATAAATTATACATTTATACATTTATAAAATTAACATTATATTGTAATTTAATTTATATATTACTCACCAAGTATTCCATTGGGTGCTGATATTTGTGGTTCATTGGAAAAGGATGCTGACTGTTGTGTATCTACATAAAATGCATCAGAAACCTTAAATGGTGATGATGATGTGTTGACTACACCAATGAAAGATTCATCAATAACATGTGTAATCCCCTCTAGAATCTCATCTAGCAACAATTTAAATTAAATTAAAAATATGTGCATTTTATGGAATTAATTATTGCACTTGAGATATTTTATTCAAATATTAGTCCAATTTTTTTGTTCGTGTCAAGCAACTTTTGTATATAAATATAATAGACGTACAATTAAGACTAAAATTAACAAAGTGAGTAGATAACATAAGATAAATCAAACAAAACATGTATACAATAGATTATAAATCAATTTATTAAGACAATTCTTAAAGTATGAATTACCAGTGATTTTTGTTATCTTATCAGGTGTAGAAATTGGACTTGGAGATGACTTGTTTTATTGAAATTTAATTTTTTTTACGGAAATAACAGTGCTTTGAGAACTATTAGATATTTTTGAAGGTATTGTCGGGATTAGCTGTATAGCTGGAGAACTTGGCGTACCTATATTAAAAAGAATGTTTAAAACTATACATTTTTTAAAATACTACTATAAATTAGGTGTATCCCCTTACAATTAAGTTCATATACTTATCAAATACAATTTTTTTTTAAATATTTAATATACATCATACATTAGGTAATACCATTTAATATTTATTATTTTAGTATGCAGTTAGTTTTCATTTTTTATTTAAAATAGAAATAACATAAAAATGAACTGTCATTTTTTATTATTAGTGTTTATAATTCAATGTTCTAATTATTATAGTCAGTGATTAATTATATTTTAGTTACTAAATACACATATCGCTTACTTTGTCAATTACAACTTACCAGATAATACTAGAATACTTTCTGCCATAGGACTTAAATTTGATTCTCGGTTGGTATTATAATTGTCATCAACAAAAAATATGTTTTTATACTTTTATAATAAAAATTGGAGAAAAATGAAATTTCTTAAATTTAGCAATAATATAAATTTATCAACCAATACTTTCACTTGAAGATGGATTCCATAAAACACTATTTTCTTTTTGTTGACATTTATCTTTTTTTTTAGTTTTTAATGTAGGTTTCATATTATTGTATTTTTGCTTGGTTGGTGTTGTTGATAAGTCGGATGTATACTCTGCCTTTTTAGCTTTTTCTATTGCTAAAGTATAACTATCTAAATAAAAATAAAAATAAATATGTTATATGTGTATAACATACAATAATCATACAATGAATCATTTCAATAATGTTCAGCTATATATGGACGGTTTTTATGAGAAGGGGCACAAGTCATTTTTTGTTGGTTTTCAGGAGATGCATAAAACATTCCAAAATTTTTATTTTCTACTTAATCTAAATTTTTTTTTTGTTTATGTTTTATTTATAATTGTTCACGTTTTTTCAACTTACTTTCATTATAGAAATTACATTATTATTCAGTTATTAATGACTTGTGACCAATTGCACATACAATATTGACTTGTGACCTTTCTCATATACTGACTTGTGCCCTATTGCACATTTAATAAAAAAAAGATTTTGACTCGTGTCCTTTTTCATACACTTCAAAATAAAATACTAATTAATATAATACTGCTTACTGATTAATATAAATTAATATTCTCAAAAGTAATAAAATAGACATACAATTATTAATGAAGTATAATTTTATTATTTAAATAATAATAATAACAAAGTAAGTTTTAATAATATTGCACACCTTCCTTGGTGACTAGATACTGATTAAAAAAATAATAAAAATCAATACAAATATTTAATAATATTGTACACCTTCTTTGGTGACTAGATACTGATTAAAAAATAATAAAAATCAATAAAAATATTTAATAATATTGTACACCTTCTTTGGTGACTAGATACTGATTAAAAAATAATAAACATCAGTCAGTTTAAATATATAATTATATGAAACACCATAACAATAAAATATAGCTATAAGGGTAACTCCATTTAAACGTTACTCATCATCGGATAGTACTGGGTCATTTAAATTTTTCTTTGTTTTTAAATTTTTATAAAACTCATGGAACACATCTGGAATCAGTGGTAGTAGTGATATAAGATCTTTTTTTTTTTCAACTGTAATTGGTAGTTCTTCGTCATAGGCCAAAGGTAAGCTACTTACATCACTATTTTTACGGGTCAAATCTAGTTCAAAAAATTCAGCTTCATCTTTTAGTGATGTCTTGTAAAGAACTGTATTCTTTTGGTCTTTAACGTAACGCATCCATTTCACATCACGGAATACAAATTTTTCTCCATTTGTATTTTTTGTATTTTTTTGGTACTTGGTTTTTAACAAACTGTTAAAATCATAAAAATTGCTTTGCTTCATATCAATTACATCAAACTTTTCTTTTCCCACCCAGCGAATCATTTGAGTCCAATCATAAGGGTGGTTTATGGGTAAAGGGTATCGTTTGCGTCCTTTTTCAATACGTGCATGATCCGAGTCACACTCCATTCGTGTGTGACCCGGAACTAAAAATTTGTGATCAATTATAGTAACAATATCTTGATGCTCCATAAACCAAAGAACCATTGCCATCATAATACTGTTCTTGTTTTGGCCAGAGCAACAGTCACTATACATGACTACATGTTTAATTTCTGTTGAGAGACATTTTAAATAATTAAAAACGCAAGAACCAATATCATTCCCTCCCCTCTTTGCAATAGGTTCACTCCATATGAAACATGATGCTGTTGAAGTATTTATATTATGAACAGTTAAATTATATGTCCATAACTGGCGCTTGTAAAATGCAACTGAAGACTCTAAAAGTGGAGTTGGGAGGCACTGCTGGAGATCAAATGATAGAACGCATTTATTGTTAGTAGATGTAGAAGAATCAATTCTTTTTGAAGAATATGCTTCTTCGGCATCATCCTGGTGGTTTTTTTTTTCAATGTTTAATTCGTTTCTTTTTTCACTTGAACACCCACTGTTGGATAGTTGCATTTTGATCCTGTCACATTGAGCACAGGTATCTTTTTTTGGATTTTTCACTTTCAACCCTGATAGTTTAAAATGTTTTTCATAAATGCTTCTACAAACAGGAGTTGGGACAGTTTTTGTATATTCGTTGTAAGCAGCTTGGAGTGTAAAATAAGGAGGTAGATACTTTTTACTGGTAACTTTTCGACAATAATGACTTTCATATGTTGGGAGTTTCTTAATATGATCTTTTACAGCTTGTATGTCCTCAGGGGTTCTTTTATTTTTTGGCTCTGTGTGACCTCTTTTATCAGGTGTCACATTATTAGCAATAGATTTCAATTTTTTATTGCAAACATTGCGCAGAAATTTAGTAGTTTCGCCAAAAATTTTTAAAAAGCAGCCCTTGCAAACCTGAATTAAGAGTTTATTATTATTAGGAATAAAATAATTCATAGTTATATTCCTGTTATTTTGTTTTTCCGGTGTCAATCTACGTTTCCGGTTTACTTTTGTGTTGTGAAAAGTTACTAATCCAGAAATATATGAAGTTCTTCTATTGTGGTTTTTCATTGACCAATATGTAGCAAATAATTTCTCACGTAATTCATCGTCAATTTTTGAATTACATTTTGCTCTACAGTTTGGTAGTTCTTTTGAACATCTACTTTCAACAGTTTTGCCTTTATTAGTGCAATATTTGTTACCAGAATTCCTGTTTGTCTTTATGTAATTTCGATACTGAACAGTCTCACCTTTTATGCTAACTCTGGCTTTCCTGCCAATAACCGGATTAGCCTCTTGTTCATTGTTAGTCAACAATAAAGTGTCTTCTGGGGTGCCAGGAATTTCATTGTTAACCAACAATAATGTATCTTCTGGAGTGCCAGGAATATCATTGTTGATCAGCAATAAGGACGTATCTTCTGGGGTGCCAGGAATAATACTTATATCATCCGAATGATTAGAATACTCTTCAAACCGGTCTTCACTACTCACAGCCTAAAGTTGAGATTGAATGAAAATTATTATTTGAATAGACAAAAAATAATATTTTAAATAAAAATATAAGCTCTACTGAAATTAAAAAAATGTATTCTTCATAACATTATTGCTATAAAAGTTACAATTTTAATAATTATTAAAATTAATAAAATAAGTTAATCACCTTGGACACAAATGCATGTAATTTCTCATGATTGTTATACTCATATACTAGCTTTTCAGGCTCATTTAGTGAACAATTATTGTTATACATATATTCATCTTCAGTTATAACTTCAAAATCATTTCCATTCAAATGTATAATGTTATCTTTTGGTTCCTGAGTTGACTATTTGAACAAGTTTTATAAAAATAATTAGGTACCTAACTACCAAATTCTATAAATTGAACATAATTGTTTTATTTTATAAAGTACTTACTAATTTATTATATACTTCTAACTCATTATTATTTGTATGGTTCTGTGAGACATTCACCCATTCCTGTAGAATTCAATTAATTATTTAACTTATAAAATTACATATTCTTAATTCACAATGAATACCTATTATACATTAAAGAAAAATAATAATTAATATTTTATTTCTATGTGTCAATATTAATATAAGGTAGTTAACTATTAGTTGGTTTGTTTATAATTTAATTATCCCCACTGAGGAAACCCATGTGAAAGAGCATGAGTTTTTACACTATTATTATAGATGAAATATAAATAAGTATAATATACTTAAGACTAGTTTAAAAAACATACCTAATCTATTTAAGTTTATAAAAATAATAACAGATATAGTAAGATATTATAAAATACAATAATTTAAACAAAAAGTAAAAAAAAAAATCTAATAATAGGTACTTGATAACTTAAATAATTAATAGAAGCAATACACAATTTTATTTTAGCAAACTTGTAATTCATATAATATAATATAAATAATTCAGTTATCTATGTCTACAATGACAAGTGTTTTTACTTGTATTACATAAATATTTATTAACATAATATAGTATTTTTCTATATATTTTATAAAGAGCCAATTTAATATTTTTAATTTTAATTATAATATAATAATTCTAGGATTTAGATTGTTAATTACCTGGATTTCCTGCTGTGGAAGACCATTAAAATCTAGTTTCCTTTTTGCAGAGTATTTCAGATTAGTTTTTGAAGCTTTAAATTACATTATTATTCTGAATTAGTTATTGGTATAACAGAACTAATATATATAGATAATAATATATAGATACTCACTTGTAACACGAGACAATAAATTTAGTGTTCTTTTAGACATTGTGTTAGCTAATAAAAAAGATTATAAACTAATACAATAACATTATATTAAGAGTTAAAATTTAATATAATATGACTTGTGCCCTTTTGAATAAAAAAAAAAATCGTTAATTTTGACTTGTGTCGTATCGCATTTTAAAATACTGTGATAACAAATCCTCGTGCGACCACGACAGTGCTACCATTCGATCGGGCGTAAAATTTCACACAAAATTAACGTATAAAAAAAAAATGTCAAAAAATGACTTGTGCCCCTTCTCATAAAAACCGTCCATATTAAGTTATATAATATACTGTACATACCTCTATCTTTTCCCATTTTACGAGCCTTTAAAAAATCGAACTCAATTTCATTTGGTTTGGTCCTTTTCTGAATGAATTGTTTTGAATTTTCTTTCGGCCAAGCGCATGTATTTTTGTTTAGCCAATAGGCCGGTACCACTTCAACGGAATTATCATCAAAGAACCACAGACCACATTTAAAATACAAAATGTATTCACAAATATGATTGAAACTGAATACAAAACCTATAATTTAATACAATAACTAGTAATTATATATTATAAGCACTTTCAAAAAAAAAAAAGTTGTATAGGTATTTAAGATGAAAATTATAAACTAAGTATTTACTATTTAGACTTCTTATTCTTTATTATAACCAGAGAACAAATGTTAATAAACATATATTATGTAAATATAGGTATTAATTAATTATGTAGATACCTGCATACATTGATATAATTATGATATATGGGCTTGATTTTAAATATATTATTCATAATAATTGACATAATTATCACTTATATAGAATATAATTTAATACAATATAAGGATGAGCATAAAACATTTTTATAAGGTTCCTAAATATTAATAGTTGAATGAATAATAGGTATTACAATCAAATCATTATTATTAGATGGTAACAGAATCATTTTTTTTTTTAATATCTTTAATATTAAACTCATGAAAATTATAACTTAAATTTTTAACAACATAAATATCTAATTTACTAGATTTTATAGGTTTGATAAATAACTCATTTTTTTTGTCAAATATTTTACAAATAAGTATTACGTCTTCTGAATTTTCTTTCTTAATTATGTTGACAATTTTTACTACTTTTTTTTCTTGAATTAAAAAGTATGAATCTTTTTCCAGATGTGTTTTAATTGTCATGCTTTTTAATACCAAAGTGGTAAACTGTTTTCCTTTTATTGAACTTGACAATGTAGGACCATGTGTATGGAGTCCAGAAAAATAAGGTGCATCATTTTTAGTTTTAGTGTTAGACTTAAGTGAACAAATTTCACTATATCTTTTGACAACTTGCTTCAAAGGTTTATGTGGTTTCCTTAACATTCTATTTAAGCACCCCATGTAGTTTTCAAAAGGGAAGGCTGAACAATTGTGGCCCAAATTTGTCATAATCATCACATAAGTGAGTTAAACCATGAATGTTATGAGAAATGAGGTAACGGCCATAAATAATCTTGAAATCTTTAACAAAACTGTCTAATAATTGACGTCAACATTTATGTATTTCAAATGATCAGGACTTAATAAAATAATCATATATATACTTAAATTAAAAAAAATTATTCCAGTGTTGATCTTTCAATGATGGTTTAGTAACTATTATGCCATAATATAGTAAAAACATACGAAATTCCGTTGCTTTCCATCTATTTACTTCATCTAAGTTAATAGGTTTTCTTGCAAACTCACAAGGCATTTTGTTTTTAATAGTTTGAATATAACTGGAGATTTCTTTGATTTTCCATGATTTTAAATTACCTTCATTGGGTCCTTTCATCTATAATAATATTAGTTTACGAACAGTTCCTAGACAAACCAAATGCATATAATCTAGACAGAACCCAGTCGTTATATCAAAATTGGGCAAAGTTGCTAAAATAGAGATATTTCCAATATGATACTCCTCTTGTGTTTTCAAAACATAATTATTATGTGTTCGCTTGGGTGGACAGTTATCAGTTATATGGAAAACAAGTTCTGTTTGACAAATATTGGCCTTCCTGCTCACATCTGGAGCAAGAAAAAAAACCTGAATGTCCCTTAGTTTTTAAAATAAACAATTTTGCAGGCGCATCACAACAAAGAACATCTATCGAAACTTTATATGTTTTATTATTTACATAAACACCACTGTCAATTAATTCTTTTCCTTCATCAACAAATTCTTTTAGGAATTCATTACTATCAATGGTTTTTACTTTCCCACAATAAATCCCAACTGGAAATACTTCATTGTTATTTGGTCGGATATATGCAAGGACAGGCCAAAATTGTTCAGGGCTACTTTTAAAAATTGGCAAACCATCGATTCCAACAACAATTTGAATTATTTCATTTTCATTAATACAATCAGGGATATTTTGTTTAATTCCATTCAGAATACCGAAATGATAATATTTGCCAGGCTCCACGGCAAAACAATTTGAAGTGGTTAATTTTTTTGTACTTAAAATGGTTCGTGAATCAATAGGTAATGCTTCAAAACATTTATGCTGTTTTAATAGTTTTAATAATGCATTAAGTGCATTTTGAGAAATATTAAATGAAACTGCCCACTGAGCAATTAAAGTACTAAATAATGATAACTGATCAACATCATTATTAAAATAAGTTATATCTTCATTATCTTCAATTTCTTCATCGGAAGATGAAGTTGACGATGAAGAGTGTCTCAATTCTTCATAAAATTCTTTATCATTTGTGAAATCAGTATATTATGTTCAGACAGAATCAATGGCTCTTAAGGAAGTTAACGCGCCAGTACCAGCGACAAGTATATTTTTTGATTTCGGTAAACTAGGTTCAATAACTAAATGGGATGTTGAATTTTTTTTGACGTTGGCTAATTCTATAGGAAATTCTACTTCCTCTTGTACCCTTCTTCTTTTTGACCGATCACTTAGGCAATACTTTTTTTTGTAAGACATTCTAACCTAACCAAATGATAAAAACATTGATATAAGTAATATTATTATTGTATGAGCCACATAAACATGAATGATATAATTATAATACACTTTTCAAATATCAATGTAATTCAAATAAAGGTTTATAAATAAAATAGTAAATAATATTATTAACATTCATGTATAGACGGTAACTTATAAGTAGATTAATTTATAATAATTTAATTGAAAATTATCTTATTTTTAAATATTACTTTTACCTATATAATATTATACCATATATTTTAATACATTTTTATATCAAATATAAATATATTTTAAAAGTCGCACCAATTAAAGTCACATACCTATGTACAGGATGATCCATTTAACGCATGAGATAACATGAGATAATAATAATAATAGTTTTAACAAAAACATGTTCTCTTGTAACACTTTGAATTATTTTAAATTAACATTTACAAAAACATTAATCGTTTTTTAAATTATGTGTGTCTTATGATAAATGGATAACCCAGTATATATATAGGCATTTCAAATATTTCAAAATCAAATTAAATTATTATAAGTAGATATAGGTAGCTCAATATAATATAACCTATAATATAATTGATTTAATGTACTATGTATGTAACTCTGTATCTTGTACCTAATCTTTTTTTATTTTACTAACACCAAAATTATACATATTATTCTTATTAACATGACATGTTATAACATTGTTATATTACATACAACATACCTACTGCTATAATTTTATTTATCTAAAGTTGTATAAAAATGAAAGTACTTCAGTATGTATTCACTATTTAGGTGATCCGGTGAAAATATATGAGCTACCTATATTTAATTATAACATATAGGTAGGCAATTTGAATGGAATAAATTAATTAATTAATAGATTGTACATTTGTACCTATATTATTCTATTATTTTATTATATTATATTACCTACATGATAGTATATGTAGGTAGGTTGATGTATAGAGTTTACTTCATTACAATAATAATAATAATTATAATCACATGTACCTACTACTTAAAATAAAATAGGTAATATACGTCATATTTACTTACTGATGGTTAATGACTATGTTAAATGCTATTCAATTAAGGTATTTAGGTTATTAGTTTAATAAAAACTTAATATTTACATTATGTAGCTATATATTAATCGAGGTGGGTAACATTTAAAACATTAGGTACCTACTAATACTTACTGTTATTATATAATTACAATAAATAATTTAAATATAATAATAATAATATGTAGGTACCTATCATACAATTAAAAATTGTGGATAATCACATAAAATTACTTACCGAAGATGCAGTTGAGTATATTAGCTGACAATTGCATAAATTGTACACCCACGACTCAAAGCAAAACGTACAACACTACTATATGACACTATAGTACACTAGAACAGTACAACACTACAACGTTCAAATATGAAATAATGGCAGTATGGCACTAGCCACTATCGGTCTGTAATAGGGTACCTATATAGCAATGATAAGACTGTTGACTGTTGAGACGACACGGCGACGGCACACAATAAAAGTTATTACCTACTGGGAAAATCATAAATCGATGTAAAATCCCCATCATTGTTTATCTTAATTTTATTTTTATTCAATACAAAAAAAAAATAATTCAATTTACGACAACGACCACTCGTTACAACGAACCTTCAGGCCGGGACTATAGACGGCGATGGCGTATTCCGCGGTGTTTTCCGTCGAATTAAAAATGCATTGGTTTGTATCGGAGTAACTATATATAGTATATATACACGACGGCCGTTTTCATCCGCGGCAGAAAACGCCGGTCGGCTTGGGTTTTTGAAAACGCGATGTATTATATTATATACGTCTGTCGTGTAGGTATAGGCGCATATATATAGCTACTCCGATATAAATACCAATGCATTTTTAATTCAACCGAAAACGCTGCGGAATAGGTACGCGGCGTATAGCCCCAGCTTCAGGCTATATATATTATAGTGGCTACAGCAATTTGATAATTAAAATAAATTAACCCCTCACCTCTAACAAATAAAAATTTTTAATCACAAATAATATTTTACACCACCATGAAGTATACGAAAATATTACCATCTCTATATAAAAATCTTCAAATATTATAATTTTTTATAAAATATTTCAAAACAATTGTCAATATAAGTAGTTCCCTGTACTGATTCATTCAATTTTCAACTTTGAAGTGCAATATTTAGAAATGAAAAAATTCATATAGAGCCAGTGTTTGGAAAGAACGTCGTTTAAAAATTTAATGAATTTGAACTATTTTTAAGACGTTCAAATGTATTTACTTTTAATACATATTGATTAATCAAACTATAGTATAGATAATATTGTATAACAATTACTATTTATCCATTATAATATTCCTATTATATTTATTTGATTACGAATTATAAAAATAAAATACTTAAAATTCCAGTTGGCACAAATCGAAATATATTATATAATCGGTAGGTATATTCATTTTTTCAAAGAACACGAACGTGTTCATATAAAAAAAAATATGAAGTTATACGTGAACGAATTAAATATTCTAGTGTACGTTCTGAACCTTATAAGTTAATATAATACCTGTATACTGTATAGGTAATATGTTTATATTTGTATGTATATCAATTTGAAAAATATTTTTATTCAAACATTTTATATCACTATTATAATTTATTATAGACTATAGTATTAATATGTATTATATATAGGTAATTATGTTAATACCTATATAAAAGTTATAATAATGACAATAATAATATTTGATGATTTAATATATTATGTATATTATAAGAGGTATACCTATTAACATAATGGACATTGTGGTATGTATTAAACAATAATTTTTAACACTAAATCATTGTTAGTTCTAAGTCTGTAAGTGGGAAGGGAAATTAGTGTTTTCTAAACGTTATTTACCCCTTAAAATGCATGATATTTTTGTTGAAATACTTTTTTGGGCCCAAGTGCAGTTCGACCATTACATTTTGGCTTTTTTAAACCCAACTCCCAAGTGCAGCTCGACTAAAATAAGTACAATTCAATCATACCCATATAATTAAATATTTAAATTAGGTACAATATTAAAAAATACAGAATACAAAAAATAATAATTACCTTAATATGACTTCTGAGATTGGCATTTGAAGTATGAGAAACAAATATTAATTTTCTTCAGGGTAATCATAACAAACATTTAAAAGTTAAAGAATTATTGCGAGTATTGGTTGCAGTATCAAATATTTGTTGAAAAAAAGAACTAACGCGCGGACATTTTAAACTATTTGAAGATTGAAGATCTCTTGTATTTTCACTACTCGTTACCGTACTTAATGACATTTTTAATTATTTTAAGTAATAATTTAATAAATAATATTAAGACATCGGAAATAAAAAATGTCTACCATATAATATTATAACAATACCTATAATCGATATGGAATAAAT